GCTGTGAGCTGTGTGATGCCACCGCACTCTACTGTGGGCGATTAAGTGAAACTCTTTTATTTATTTATAAATAAAAAAATAAATAAAAAAAAATAGAAAAATTAGCTGTTGTGGTCCCAGATACTTGAGAGACTGAGAAAGGAGGATTGCTTGAGCCCAGAAGTTTGAGTGCTGTGAGCTAGGCTGACACCACAGTACGCTAGCCTGGACAGCAAAGTGAGACTCTATCTCAAAAACAAACAAAAAAAGATTAATAGTGATTAATATTTAAGGAACATTTATTATTTGTTAAAACTGTGTTGAGTGCTCTACAGTGATAATCTATTTGCATCCTTAGAAAAGCCATGGGAGATAAGTACCCTTACATCCTATCACAAATAATTAAACTGGAACTCAGAGAGGCTAAGTAGCTTGTCCATGTCCATAGAACCATTAGCAATAAAAATGGAACTCGTATAGGTCTGACTCCAGAATCCATGTTTGTAAGAACTTCCCTAAACTAAGAAGAGCAGTCACTTCTGTTGAAATCTACTTAAGAGTAAGTTGAGGCTGGGCGAGGTGGCTCACGCCTGTAATCCTAGCATTCTGAGAGGTTGAGGCAGGCTGACTGCTTGACCTCAGGATTTGATACCAGCCTGAGCAAGAGTGAGACCCTGTCTCTACTAAAAATAAAAAAACTAGACAGGTGTTATGGTGGGTGCCTGCAGTCCCAGCTACTCAGGAGGCTGGGGGAGGATCTCTTGAGTCCAAGAAACTAAAGTTGCTATGAGCTATGACGACGCCACTCAGGGTGACAAGGTAAGATTCAGTCTCAAAAAAAAAAAAAAAAAGAAAGAAAGAAAGAAAGAAAAAGAAGGTGTAAGTTGAGAGGTATAAGCTAGTTGTCCTTTAATCTTATTCTCTACTTGACCAGCGAAGGCCCCTAGTTAGAAAGGCAGAAGTGATTTTTTTGTTTTTGGTTTTTAACTTACCCACTCACAATCGATTCCAAGTACTGGAAAATCTTCTAATTCACTTCTAAGCAAGGGCTCAATATGATCCCACTCTGCCTCCTGAGACACCGTCACCACTTTGGCTTCGAGGAGCCTCTTCTCCCACGAGGCTCTAGGGGCAGTGGAGGACAACTGGGACTCTTCTGAAGGGGACAGCTCTTTACTGCCTGGCACTTTCTCTTGCTGCTGCTGCTGCTGCTGCTGGGCCACACGGTTCCTTCTACTCCTTCGGTGCTGGATGCCTTTCCAGAGGACAAAACCCCCCACAGCCATGCCCAAAAGGGTGGTCACTGTCAAAGCCACTAAGTTCTGTCTAGACATCTTCTTCAACTTTTCTACCGCTTAGGAAAGCAAATCACTAATCCCACAACCTGCAAAACAAATGGCAAGAATACATTTATATACAGAATATAAACCTATATGTAAACAAGTTTTCTACTAAAAACCATTCCACTTATAAT